GCCCTTTAGTATGATATCATAACCCAGCTCTTGCCAAACCTTCACTTTCCATTTTCCCCTGGCCTCAGAGAGAGAAAGCAAACCAGTCATGCCTTAAAGAAAGACAGATGATCTACCTTACTGCAGTGCCATCTAACAACATCACATTTAAAACTGGCCTCACAATACAGCTCAAATTGACAAACAGAACTAGATAGAAGCATGAATTGCCTTCAACACTAGCCAACAACTTTGAAGTCAGTAAGAAGAAGATTCTACACGCATATTACTTTATATTGAAGATAGGAAAGAATTGTAGAAACAGAGAAGGGAATTGAGCATTGTGGGTTTTGAACCCATGGAGTCCAGAGAAACACAAGAAGAAAACAGAAGGATAAATGATGAGGTGGAGAAGACAAAAATACGTCCCATGAGAGCCTTACTTGAAAAACAAGATCCCTCTTCCAAGGTGCTCTCTTCCTCTTCTGTTTTTTCTCACTGTAATGCCTGTAACCAATTCACAAAAAAATTATTCACACTGTTATTATTGTTGCAAATGTAACTTGCACAAGTTATTGCAGGAAGTAGACGATCTGATGATCAGAAGATTTCTGCGAGCTCGTGACTTGGACATAGAGAAAGCTTCAGCCATGCTCCTCAAGTACCTTAAATGGAGACAAGTGTTTGTTCCAAATGGTTCTATTTCTGAATCAGAAATCCCAAATGAGATTGCTCAGAACAAGATGTTTCTGCAAGGAAGTGATAAGAAAGGAAGACCCATTACAGTTGTTCTTGGAGCTAGACATTTTCAAAACAAAGTAGAAGATTTCAAGCGTAAGTAATAACAACTCTGAAACATTTATCAAACCCCCTGGCAACTATGTCCCGGGGGACTCACTTCTGAGATGGCTGATAACTGAGTTTAGATTGATTTTCACAGGCTTTGTAGTGTATGGTCTTGACAAAATATGTTCAAGGTAATCATTTTTACTCCTCAGCCAATTCTGTCAATTTATTAGGCATTCAGTTTCTCTTCAGAACAAGGCACTATAAAAAATGCAGAGAAAAAGTTAGAAGGGCCTTTGCTGTAGAGTGTTTCTGATGAAACCTTGATTTACCAGGATGCCTCCAGGACAGGAGAAGTTTGTTGCTATTGGAGACCTTGAAGGCTGGGGATATGCAAACAGTGACGTCCGTGGATACCTGGCAGCTCTATCCATTCTCCAGGTTTAGCCATTCACCCTCCATACTGGTGATGGAAATAACTAATAAGAGAGGAAGCACAACATACAGAGTTAAAGGTGGTTGTACTTAAGAAATTGTTTATAGTTAACATCATTTGTTCAATGACCATGACAGGACTACTACCCAGAGAGGCTTGAGAAAATGTTTCTTGTGCATGCACCACACCTATTTATGACAGTATGGAAAATCATTTACCCTTTTATTGACAACAAAACCAGGAAGAAGGTAAGAAGTGGCGATTCTAATCTATTTTAGCAACTGTCTCATTATGATATATTGACATTCTGCATTTAAATATCCTTGCAGATAGTTTTTGTTGAGAATAAGAAATTGAAATCCACGCTGCTTGAGGAGATTGATGAGAGCCAGATCCCAGATATTTATGGAGGCCAACTACCATTGGTTCCAATACAAGACAGCTAAACATAAACGGACAGTTCTATCCTTCAATATCTAGCTTAGAATTTCTCTTTTCCTTGCAGTACAGTTGGGACAGCAAGGAAAAGGAATTAGGGTGTGGAGGGTATTAAAGTTATTGCAAGTCAACAATAACTTGACATGATTTCTGGAGAAACAAGGAGACAATAAATTCAGAGTCATGTTTAGGTTAATCAATATTCAAAACTAGCAATAAGTTTTATTTCGGTACCCAGATATGTTAGCTATAGAATAAGGTGACCAAAATCTCTGCAGAACTTATAAACAGAGATGGTATGCAGTCACGTAGATCAAACCATCTGTAAGGAAGTTGCAGAATTAGGGACAATCTCAAATGTAATGTTCTTATCTGTGTGATTGGCATATTTAGTGAGGTTTTAAATTTGAACTTATAACCCTGCTTAACCTAGACCACTTACTGAGGTAGAGGTTTCTCCTAAACGAAATTCTACTTTCTTCCTGCCTCTAATCTTGATACTTCAGAAAATACGGTCACAAATATTTTGAATTGGATAATTAAAATGGAGGAAAAGAAGCTAGCATATTAGGAACATCAGCCTTATAACCATAGGTTGGTATTAGCGGGCACAAGGTAGGATTCTTTCAAGTACATCAATACAAGGGCAAACCTAATGAAAACTGAAGAAATGTCAGAATCATAATGCAAATTTGTAACACTTACCAAAGATCACATCATTGGTTAGCAGACAGAACCAAAAGCATCTTTATCCAACATGAGCCAAATCTGCCATAGCAGTAGAAATTGATCATCTCATGATGTAAAAACATCTATGCTACATCATGCCAGAGAGTTGATCGTTTGACCCAATAATTACTACACCAAAACTGCCAAAGTGACACCACTAGCCAAGAACACCTAATTGGACAACACAGAAAATAAACCTTGTTACTTAATAGAAGCATTTAAAGCCCTAATCTTCCAAGTACAGATCCACCAGAATTTTTTTAGCTGATATGGAACAAATTTGCAGTACTGCAAGAAACATCCGAGGCTTCACTTGCATGAATGAGTTAACCATTTAACAAGCATTCCAATCTTTGCTCTTGTTCTTCTCCATTTACCTTGTTGGTTGACAAAAGATAGGGAAAGAAAAAATACTGCTTAACCAGCAACAGATAAAAAGGAGATCCCCCCATTAAAATGAGAAAGCAATGAAGATCAGCCTATGTAAAGGTGCATAAAAGACTCAAAAGCTGCACTTGTGTTCATACCTCTGTGGAAAGCCCACTTAAGCGACTAGTTCTGCTTAACCAGCAACAGACAAAATATTACCAGTGCAATTAAATCAGAAAGCAATGGTGTGAATGGAGCTCCACTTCACTCTCACACGGATCTCTGTGGAAGCCTGCTTAAGAGACTAGTTATGCCAACTTTCTCATGGGTGCCTTAAGCATTTCATATCTGAAACCAAGAAAGAGTACATTTATGCTACCAGTAATCTCCACAAGAACATAAACCACCTTCAAACCTGTGAAAACGAATCCGATCCCTCACAAAAATTACTCTGCTTAATAATTTGGATATCATTTTTATCCAACTATGACAGTCATGACAGATTCGCAGGTTTTTTGAGATCATAATTTCTCTTCCAGGGCTTGTTTTCAGGATTGCATATGCCAGTGCTAGCTTCTCGCTGTGATGATCCAAATTTTCCTCCTTTTCCTCCTCAGACACATCCATCAAAACCAACTCAACTTCAGGCAGAAATCCTTCTGACTTTGTCCATCGGAGCAACCCTTCTAACACCTTGTATATTGCTACTGCTTCAGGATGAGATCTATCACCTGCCTTAAACTGGTGAACTATACCAGCCAACTCAAGCC